CACATCATTTTAAAGGTGCTATGAATTAATGTTTCTAATAAGGCAGGGGTCAACTGATATTGGTAGGCATTAGCAGTCCTAACACTAGGATTAGCATTCTTCCAAACACGTTGCTTTGTATTTCACTATTGCTCACAAAGGTTCACCTGACGGAGCTGTCCTTGCACCTGTTTACCAATGGAGAGAAGAGAACCCGCTCATATTCACACACACTACTCACACAGAGTGAATCACCCTCAGAGCTAGTGAAAGAACAAGTTCTCTTCTCCATCATAAAACTTCTTTCCACTTTGTTGCATTAGCTTAATGAATGACAAACTTCAGTATAAAAGAAAAGATGAAGGAGGCACCTGGCTGGCTCAGTCAGTAGAGCATGCAACTCTTGATTTCAGGGTCCTGAGTTTAAATCCCAAGTTGGTCATGAAGCCTACTTATTAAAAAAAAAAAAATGAGGATTAAAGGGAGCTACAGCAGATATTGAGATCCATCCACATTTGTAAATGCATTAGGGGACAGGAAACCAATGTTCTAACCTGAGGACTTTTAGCTGAATTGAAATATTCTCTTCCCCCATATATCTGAAATTGAAAACGGTTCCGTGGTCCTTATTAAAATTAATACAAATATCACTCTTAAGAGGCACACTATGACAGAGCTATAATCAAGGCAAAAAGGGATTTTAATTGGCCTTTCCATTGTTCAAGAAAGGAATGTTGGTTTTAATTTCTTAATTTTTGCAGTGTGTGTGTCTAAGTGATATGAACTGAAGTTTTAAGATTTAAGTTTTACTAAACTCTTCTTTTTTTTTTTTTTAAAGATTTCATTTATTTATTCATGAGAGACAGAGAGAGAGAGAGAGGCAGAGGGAGAAGCAGGCTCCCAAGGAGCAGGGGGCCCGATGCAGGACTCCATCCCAGGACCCCGGGACCACGACCCGAGCCGAAGGCAGACGCTCTAACCATCTGAGCCACCCAGGCGCCCTTTACTAAACTCTTCTTAAGAAACTATCACTACAGGGCGCCTGGGTGGCTCAGTCGTTAAGCGTCTGCCTTCGGCTCAGGGCACGATCCCAGCAACCTGGGATCCAGCCCCGCATCCGCATCCGGCTCCCTGCTCAGCGGGGAGCCTGTTTCTCCCTCTCCCACTCTCCCTGCTTGTGTTCCCTCTCTCGCTGTGTCTCTCCCTGTTAAAAAATAAATAATAAAAAAAAGAAACTATCACTACCATTATCATTTGCAATTAATCAGGGAAGTTCAGAAAGCCACTAATTCCAACAGAATTCCTATGTCTCTTGCTATGAATCAGGTTGCCCCTAAGTTCCCACTTAACACAGAAAGGCTGTGTGTGTGTGTGCGCGCGCGTGTGTGTGTGCGCGCGCGCACGCATATCTGAAAGAGAAAAAACAATTTCATATTTTTTAGAGTCTGGATTTAGCTATTTTTTTTCTAGTGGCTCATCTAATATAAAATAAGAAAAATGGCACAAGAAACTGAGTAGAAAATTCAAAGAATGTTTCAATACTAAAATATACAGTTTCAGGGCTCATATTTTTGGTTTCCAAAATCTGAAAAGATCCTATAAAAATTATTTATAGATTACAGTATAAGGAGAGAAGGAACTAATCTACCTAATGCATTTTCTTTGAAAAATAAAGACTGACATGGATGTTTAATAAGGTAAAAATCAATAGAATGCAATCATTTTACATCTTTTCAAACTAGGCAGACTAGGATTTTCTTGATTAAGAAAGACAAAAGGACACCTGCCCTACCGCCCACCTCGCCACCCCCCAAAAAATCAAGGGAAAGTTGAGGTAAACCAGAACACCCAAAAGAGTTGTACATTTTGTGCACTGTTTAAACATGCCTGACTAAGGGAGCAAGTGGGTTTGGAAATCTATGCTCTAGTTGTGTAGCTGGACTCCATGGCTCTCTGGAAGAATTTCTTTGCAGGGCTAGGCCACATCAGGGAGAGCACATGTGCCCAATGGATTGCTTGTCCCAATTTATCCACCCTGAGAGAGCACTTTTTCTAATTTATGAAAGGCCCTGTAGAGGCTGGGTGTGGCCAGTGAAAAGACCACATTCTTCATGATATGCCTTTTCTTTGTTTAAATCTAAAATTGTTTGTGCTCAATTTCTTACATGCTTCATTCATTCAACAAGTATTTATTGAGCCCCTTGGCTGCATGTGCCACCAATACAACCAGGAACAAACCATAGGCACCTGACCACAAGTTGCTGTCAGTCTAGGTACATGGGGACAAGTAACCAAAGATTACAATGCAATTACTTTTAGCCTCTTGTGTGGCCGTGTTCCTAAAATTACCATGACCATCAAACCTGAAACTGACAAAATTAAGATGTAGTAGAAAATAGATGTAAAAGGATCTCATTTTCACAACAAACCAGATACTCCCATTTTAAAAATCTGCTCCAACAACAAATATTTCTCTTACCTAATTTCACTCAATTATTCAGAAAACATTGCTGCATCCCTGTAATCTAGGAAACTGTAGAATTTCCTACCAATTTCACTATTTCTGAGCTAAATCTAATACAAACTTTGTTAGTATATAAACTGGGGCAGGTTCTATGCCAAAGTTTCTGACTCATTAAATATGGATCATAACACTACATTTATTCTACAATTGTTATGAGCATTAAATGAATTAAATTATATAAAGTGACTAGTACATAATAAATATTCTCTATTTCCTGCATTTATTTTAAAGTTTGTAAATCTAATATTGTTGGCAAGTTTGAATTTAATCAGTGGTTTTTTGTTTTTGTTTTTGCACTTCTATTTTCCATTGGCCTATTTTCACAATTCCAATAAAATTTGTATTTACCGCATGAGACTTTCACAAGCATTGTGGTAGTTGAGGGCTGATTTTCTGGATCTGAAGAGATAATGGTAAAAATATTGGTTCTGAAACTATACAGTCCTGAGTTCAAACCAACCTCTGACACTCCTCAGTCCAAATGTATCTGACATGAGGATCATCTGACAAGAGGATCATCTTAGAAGCAATGTGTATATGTAAGGCTTATTTCCTTCTCTCCCTGAAAAGCTACCGTTAAACCAACAGTGTGTTGGCTGTAGTGTTTTGAGCATTTGTTGTTCTTTGTTTTTGTTTTTACAACCTATGGTATCTTGACATTTAGGAAACACAGTAATCTATGTAATGGTAAGAAATTTATTTAAACTCCTTAATTTGCCATTTCTTCGTTTGTAAATCTATTTTACTCATAAACCTATTTCTTAAAGTTGATAGAAGTAAATGAAATAATACATACGTGGTGCCTGGCATAGTGCCTGGCATGTAATGAATGATTTATACATGTTAGCCATTAATAACTGTATCCACATTTTGCATTGAGAGGATGAAATATAAATCGATCCTCATTCTCTGCAATAAACCAAAAACCTATCCCCAGAAGGGTCTATAGAAGACAGTTTCCAGAATTCAACGATATAATGCTTATCAGTCTTGTAGCAAGGCACAAGGGTTGCTAGAAAGAGTGAGCACGGATCAGATGTTTGCATATTTGGTGCTAGATAACCTGAGTATTGACCTAGAGTTCCCTACAAAGGATGGAATTAGTTCAGTGGTCTCTAGGGTTAAACTGAACCTCCAGGATGGAGATTGATTACATGGTTCAGCTGTGGGGAAAGAAGAAAAACACTGGGACTTCGAAAAGAATATCATTTGAAAAGAATACCATTTTTGTTAACAGGGCTGGCTTCCTTTCTTCTTTCCTCTTTCTGTTTCTTTTCTGTCTGGATCAGCTAGAATCAGTTTCTGTTGCTTGCAATCAAAGAATAACTATTACATAAGATAATCTGCCTTATTATCGACACAACATCCTTATTAATTCTAAACTCATTAGCTCTTTGAACAACCAACTCCTTACTCATTAGGTATTTCTGCAGGTGTTCGTGTAATTTTGTGGGTTTAGCTGTAAAATATTTCAATTCAAGATAATGGACAAAAACTACTTGAGTAAGATTTAACCATGTAAATAATGGACTTTCCCCCCATGATTTTATATTGAAGAGGCCGCTCTCAGTTATTGACTACTGCCAAGTTCCAACGTTCTCTCTCCACAGCCTTATCCTTTGGTTCATGCTGCTTTTCCTCTCAGAAATGCCCTTCCTACCACCTCCACCTGTGGAAAGCATATTTATTCTCAAAAGACTGATTTAAATATCAACTCTGCAAAGCCTTCCCTATTTCTCAGGTTAGAACTAATCACTCCACATCTGTGATTCCTGGCAACATCACCTCTGTTGGAACAGTGCTCAGGTGTGCCTTGAACAACAGATAACCAGGCTTCTCAAAGAATTCATCGTAGATTACCAGAGTTATGACAAATATAAAAGCCATATCTATAACTCATTGGCATAAAGATGAATGTATTAATATTATACACTAACACATTTACTTTGACCTAAAAGTTCATTTCTTTTTCCAATTTCAAAAGAAAGTAAACCTTTTCTGTTTAGTAGAGTGGAACCTTGGCACTGTGTCCACTGTCTCATGAGGAAGTTTTCCCTGTGTGCATGTGCTCTTATACATTTTTCTCATTCATGCAATCCACAGCTCAACGAGGCTTCTCTGAAAGACAGGTTTGGTTTCAGAATATGAGGATAGGATCAAACTTGAGATAAGAGTAAATGATTCAGCATTAAGGGGGTTCTCTTAAAGGAGGCTTTTATTTTTTTCTTAATTGAATGACTTAAATATATAATGATTATTTTTTAAAAGAGTCCAAACCTATTGAAAGTTTGCTAGTTAAACGTCTAGTTTTCTATAGAACATTTTTCTAGCTAGAACCAGGGCTACTATGGGCATTAACAGTCATTTGTTTTGTTTGTAGTTTACCAATTTAGAGCAATATTTGAGTTAATCTGAAATAAAATAACTATCATTTGTGTGATACTTTACAATTTATAAAGCACTTACACATATATTACTCATTTAATCTATATCTTACCTTGAAAGTTCGGTGTCTTTTATTTTTCATTTGACAGGCAAGAAAAACAAGCCTCAGATGGATGAAGTGACTTCCCCAAGGTCACACAGCTGGTAGTACAGAGTCTGGGACTCATGCCCTTAAAGTGCTTCTAATCCCAGACTCTCATATTCCTTCCAGTACATCATGCTGCCCATAGGGGAAAAAAGCATCTATGTAAAAACATTCATTAAAGAGTTGAGCTCATACTTCCAAGCAGATTGATGTTCTTTTAGAAAACCTAATGGCATTTTTATAGATGTCATTGTTATGAGTTTAGTTCTAAAACATTCAACAAAAGATGGTTGACAAAATTTATTTTCAGTGGAAGTCAAAATTAACTGAACAATATTTTGAATTTATATGAAATTCTATGGATCATGAACTTTGATAGAAATTATAATAAATATGTCCGGAATGGACACATAAGATACATATTTTTAATGTCAAATTCCAAGTCTTTTTTCCTTAGCTTGTTAGATCTCCCTTTCCTTCCTTTCTCTTCTCTGTCTCTTAAGCCTCACCTTAGATGTAGACCCCTTTCATACTCTTTTGGTAAACAACCTAAAACAAACTTTTCTGTGAGTCATCTTTTTATTCTTTAAAATTTTTTATTGTTATGTTAATCACCATACATTACATCATTAGTTTTTTGATGTAATGTTCCATGATTCATTGTTTGTGCATAACACCCAGTGCTCCACGCAGAACGTGCCCTCTTTAATACCCATCACCAGGCTAACCCATCCCCCCACCCCCCTCCCCTCTAGAACCCTGAGTCTGTTTTTCAGAGTCCCATCGTCGCTCATGGTTTGGCTCCCCCTCCGATTTCCCCCCCTTCATTCTTCCCCTCCTGCTATCTTCTTTTTTTTTCTTAACATATATTGCATTATTTGTTTCAGA